TTTAGTATCATAAAACTAGGGGTAAAATAAACAATAGATTTTTTCAAATTTTAATATTTAGGGGCTTATAAGGCCCAAAATTAGATTTTCTTTGGTTTTAAAAGTGATTTTAGTGTGACTTAGTTTCCAAGGGGTTTTCGTGGTCCCTGATTACGAATCTGAAATCAGTTTTTAAAAATTTTCAATAGCGGACCCAAAATGACTAATTAAAAATGAAAAAAATTAAGGGAAATTATGAAACTCCATATTTTAGACTTATTTAGCCTTCTAATTGTTAATTAAATGTTACTTTTATTGCTTTTAAATTAGTATCATAAACCTTGGGGTAAAAAATTAGATTTTTATACAAATTTTAAATTTATGGGCTTATAAGGCCCAAAATTCGTTTTTTTGTGATTTTAAAGGTGATTTTAGTGTGAATTAGTTCTAAGGGGTTTTTGGGGTCCCTTATTACGAATCTGAAATCAGTTTTAAAAAATTTTTAATAATGGACCCAGAATGACTGATTAAATATGAAAAAAATGAAGGAAAATAATGAAATTTCTCATTTTAGACTTATTTAGCCTTCTAATTGTTAATTCAATGTTACTTTTATAGTTTTTAATTTAGTATCATAAACTTTAAGGGAAAAAAAATTTATAGATTCTTACTAATATTAATGTTTAGGGGCTTATAAGGATGAAAATTCTGTTTTTAGTTGTTTTAAAACTCATTTTTAATCAACAAAATTTGATTTTTTGTGGTTTTAAAGGGGATTTTAGTGTAAATTAGTTCTAAGGGGTTTTTGGGTTCCCTGATTACGTTTTAAATTCATTTTAGTGTAACTTAGTTCCGATGGGTTTTCGAGCTTCTTGATTACGAATCTAAAATCAGTTTTTAAAAATTCAAAATAGCAGACCCAAAATGACTTATTAAAAATAAAAAAAATTAAGGAAAATTATGAAATTTATTATTTTAGACCTATTTAGCATTTTACTTGTTAACTTAATGTTACTTTTACACAGCTCTAAATTTACTATCCTTTGGGGGCAAAAAGGAAGATTGGTTTATTTTTCAAATTTAAATTTTGGGGGCTTATGGGTTCCAAAATTGGATCTTCTGTGGTTTTAAGAGTCATTTTAGTTTAAGGAAACTTTCTGCTTTAGAATTGAAAAAAGACACGTTTTAAAACTTTTATTGTATGGAAAGTATTAAATAAAATGCCAAAATTTTTTGGACATTGTTGCAAATTACATAGAGAAAATTAAAAAAAAAATTTTCAGTGTTTTTCATTTTTAATCAGTCTTTTTGGGTCCACTTTTTTGATTTTTTAAAAACTGATGTCCGATTTTTAATCAGGGACTAAAAAGACCCCTTGGAAATAAGTCACACAAAATAACTTTTAAAACTACTGAAAATCTAATTTTGGGCCTTATAAGCCCCTAAATATTAAAATTGGTAAAAATCTAATTTTGTACCCCAAGGTTTATGATACTAAATTAACAGCAATAAAAGTAACATTGAATTAACAATTAGAAGGCTAAATAAGTCTAAAATAAGAAGTTTCATTATTTTCCTTCATTTTTTTCATATTTAATCAGTCATTCTGGGTCCGTTATTAAAAATTTTTAAAAACTGATTTCAGATTCGTAATCAGGGACCCCAAAAACCCCTTAGAACTAATTCACACTAAAATCACCTTTAAAACCACAAAAAAACGAATTTTGGGCCTTATAAGCCCATAAATTTAAAATTTGTAAAAATCTAATTTTTTACCCCAAGGTTTATGATACTAATTTAAAAGCAATAAAAGTAACATTTAATTAACAATTAGAAGGCTAAATAAGTCTAAAATATGAAGTTTCATAATTTTCCTTAATTTTTTTCATTTTTAATTAGTCATTTTGGGTCCGTTATTGAAAATTTTTAAAAACTGACTTCATATTCGTAATCAGGGACCCCGAAAACCCCTTGGAACTAAGTTACACTAAAATCACCTTTAAAACCACAAAAAATCGAATTTTGGGCCCAAATTTAACTTTGGGCCCACAAGTTACCACATGTCTGAAAAGAGGAAATCACTGGCTACAAGAATCTGAGTTTGAAAATACTTGGTTCCATTTAAAAAATTTACTTTTTTGTCTGTAGGGCCCACATAAGGCCCTGGGCCCGTTTTTTAATTATTCAATTTAATAGATTTTTTTCAACCTGACAACTTTTGTATACAACATTTTTCTCAAAAACTATTTCCTTTCAAGATATTTTGGGGGTCCGGAACATAAAAATCACCCTGTATACTGTATAACACAGAAGAATGAACGAATGAACGAACGAACTAAACCGACTGTAATTAGTAACACATGGCGCTGTGTGACTTTTGACCCCACATCGATTTCATTTCAAGAGTAATATTATAAGAAACTCAACTTTCAGTTTCTTCAAATATATGTGAAAGAAATATAATAATAATAATAATAATCCCACAAAAATTATATTAGAATTTTCATTTTAAAGAATTTTATTAGAAATAATAATTAGTTTTTAAAATGAATTTTCATTTTTCGAATTTTCTTTTTCTACGAATTTTTTACTTTAAAAATTTTTTAGTTAACGAATTTTTGTCCGAATTTTTATTTTAGTTATTTTCTTTACATGACTTTTTTTTATTTAAAAGAATTTTAATTTAACAGAATTCTCATTAAAATGAATTTTATTTGATTCGAATTTTTAAATAACAGAAATTACGATTCACGGAATACTAAATTTGTCCGAATTTTAAATTTATTCGAATTTTCAATTGTACGAATTTCTTAAGACACCAAATTTTTATTTGTCCGAAATTACAAATTACCGGAACAAACAATCGACAAAAAGATATTTGTCGCTAATTTCCAATAATTGACCAATTAGAAATTATTGAGAAAATCGTGATTGGTCAAAATTTTTGAAATTAGCGCCAAAATCTTTCTGTTGTTTGTTTGTTCCGGTAATTTGTAATTTCGGACAAATAAAAATACGGCGTTTTAAAAATTGATTCATTCGAAAAATTAAAATTTGTCTGAAAAAAAAATTGAATTTTTTCTCTTTTAAACGGTGTTATTCATAGCAAAGAACATAATTGCCAAGTTTTATAAATATCCGTTAATTTTCTTAGAAGTTATAAACGTTTTTTGAATTTTTTTTTTTTAGGTCATTTCATAATAATTTTACGCTATTTTTTTTGGGGTCATTCCGTAATAATTTTACGGTTTTTTTTTTCAAAATTTGTTTTTTGTTACGTTTAAACGGTGTTACTGATAGCAAATTTCATAATTACCAAGTATCATAACTATCTGTTACTTTATTTCGAAATTAAAAGCGTTTTTTGAATTTTTTTGGGGTCATTTCGTAATAATTTAAGGCTTTTCTTCCAAAATTTATATTTTTTTGACTTTAAAGAATGGCATTCGCAGTAAAGAACCTAATTACAAAGTTTCATAACAATTCGTTAATTTAATTGAAAGTTATAACAGTTTTTTGGATTTTTTTTGGGGTCATTCCGTAATAATTTTACGGTTTTTTTTTTCAAAATTTGTTTTTTGTTACGTTTAAACGGTGTTACTGATAGCAAATTTCATAATTACCAAGTATCATAACTATCTGTTACTTTATTTCGAAATTAAAAGCGTTTTTTGAATTTTTTTGGGGTCATTTCGTAATAATTTAAGGCTTTTCTTCCAAAATTTATATTTTTTTGACTTTAAAGAATGGCATTCGCAGTAAAGAACCTAATTACAAAGTTTCATAACAATTCGTTAATTTAATTGAAAGTTATAACAGTTTTTTGGTTTTTTTTGGGTCATTCCGTAATATTTTTTTGCTTTTTTTTACCCAAATCTGTTTTTCTGCCTTTAAAGGCTGCTATTTAAAGCAAAGAATAAAATTACGAAGTTTTATGATGATTAGTCAATTTTTTTCGAAGTTATTAGCGTTTTTTGGATTTTTTTTTGGGGTCATTCCGTAATAATTTTATATTTTTTTAAAAAAATTTTTTCACCTTTTAAAGGTGACACTTACAGCAAAGATCAAAATTTTTTAAGTTTCATAACGATTCGTTCATTTGTTTGGAAGTTATAAGCGTTTTTTGGATTTTTTTTGGGGTCATTCCGTAATGATTAATCGCTTTTTTTCTAAATTTTTATTTTTTTTCATAGCAAATTCATAGCAAAGAACACAATTACCAAGTTTCATAACTATTCCTTAATTTGTTTAGAAGTTATAATCGTTTTTTGGATTTTTTTGAGGTCATTCCGTAATAATTTTACACTTTCTTTTTTTTTACCAAATTTTTATTTTTTCGATTTTAAGGGGTTGTCATTTATATATATTTTTTCATAACTCCCTGATAAGTTGTCGGTAAAAATTTTGCGCAAAAACTTTTAATCAAAGTACATATCAAACTATCGTAAACTTCAATTAAACTGGTCTCTTGTATTTAGATTTTGACATTTCGTTTTAAATTTGAATTCGTCGACCTTGTGTTAGTAGAAAACGAGTACTATGACTGTAGATTTTTTTTTTGTAATTTCAAATTGAATATACAAAATAATTTTTGAAATTTTTTTTTTTTTTTTTGAAATTTAGCGTTTAAAATTCTTTCAAGTTCTTTTTTATAATAATAGTAATAATAAATAATAATAATAATAGTAATAAATAATAATAATAACAATAATTAATAATAATAATAATAATAATAATAATAATAATAATAATAATAGTAATAATAGTAATAAATAATAATAATAATAATAATTAATAATAATAATAATAGTAATAAATAATAATAATAATAATAATAATAATAATAATAATAATAATAATAATAGTAATACATCATAATAATAATAATAATAATAATAATAATAATAATAATAATAATAATAATAATAATAATAATAATAATAATAATAATAATTAATAATAATAATAATAGTAATAAATATTAATAATAAAAATAGTAATAATAACAACAATAATTTTACCGTTTTATCGTCAACATAGATGGAATGATGAGCGCCAAAAACCATCAGCGGAAGCATCGAGAAAAAAACGTGAAGGATCATTTTTTTCTCACGAATTAACCTTAATCCAAAATGGCACTAATTATTTACAAACGCGCACTTGTAATATAAAAAATCGGCACATTATTTAACTTTTTTTTTTCTCGTCTAATAAAAACAAGAAATAAAAGAAAAAAATAATTTTTAGTAATTTTTTTTTTTTTTTAATTATTTAGAACTCGATCGAAATCGATCCTCTTTTTTTTTTTTTATCACTTACACACAACAGCACTCGCGAGGATCATTTTTTCAATGCTCCTTTTTGACATCGTCGTCAAACTATCAATGTACAACTTGGTTTATATATTTTTTCTCATTTGTAATATACACTCAACTGTTTCTCTCTCCCTCTCTCTTTTTTTTATACAATATAATGGATCAAATCCTCCGGGGAAGAGAGAGAGAGTATATATAATATATATATATATAGTGGAAGGAGGTAGGCGCACTCAGGAGGAAGGGTTGAGGGGGGGGGGGGATTTTCTCAAGGCACTTAACAGGTTAACACTTTATATATATATATACACTTCTCCAAGGATGATGGAATATTTCAACAATCGTTGATCCATTCGCATTTGTTATCCTGATGCCAAGGACTTTGTGCTGCATTTTCCCATGTCAGGGGAAAATTCGTAGGGAGGACTTTTACTTTGATAATTTTCACGTTTTTCACTTTTATTTTATTTTTTTTTTTTTTTAATTTTTTCTTTTAATAAGAAAAATTGGGAAAATTGATAATTTTTTTTTTTAGTGGAGGTTGAAAAAAAAATAAAAGTCTTTATTATTTTTTAAATTGTATTTTTCTTTGTTCTTTTCTGCTTTTTATTTTTATGGCTTTTTTTTATGTTTTTCTTTTTGAATAGTAGATTCGTTTAATGATTTTCTGGTTTATTTCGTTTTTATTTGTATTTTTCGTTTTTACTACTCTTTTTTTTATTTTTTTTTTGCTTTATTTCTTCTTTTCTTCCTTTAGTTTATTTCTTCTTTTTTTGCCTTTTCTCTATTTCTTCAATTATCTCTTCTTTCCTTTTTTATTTCTTCTTTCCTTCTTTTTATTTCTTCTTTCTTTCTTTTTTATTTCTTCTTTCTTTCTTTTTTATTTCTTCTTTCCTTCCTTTTTTTATTTCTTCTTATTTTATTCAAATTTATTTTTCCTATTTCTTCTTTTTTCCTTCTTTTTTCCTTCTTTTTTTTACTCCTTATTACTTTTGTATTTCTTCTTTTCTTCTTCTAATATTTTTTTATTTACTTTTTCTCTATTTCTTTTTTTATTTCTTCTATTATTTTTTTCTATTTCTTCTTTTCCTTAACTTTTCTCCTTATTGCCTTTGTATTTTTTTCTTTTCTCCTTCCAATATTTCTTATTTTCTTCTAATATTTTTTCCTATTTCTTCTTTTCCTTCTTTTTGACTATTTCTTCCTTTAATATTTTTCTCTATTTCTTCCTTAATTTCTTTTTTCTTTTATTATTTTCCCGAATTTTTTCTTTTGTTCATTTCCTTTTTTTATTGCCTGCGTATTTCTTCTTTTTTTCGCTTTTACTATTTCTTCTTTTATTATTTTTCTCTAATTCTTTATTATTTCTTCTTTTTATTTTGCCTTTGTATTTTTTTTCCTCTATTTTTTCCTTTATTGCCTGCCTATTTCTTCTTTTATTCGTTTTCTTTATTTCTTCTTTTATTTTTAGCAAATTTCTTCTTTACTTCTCCTTTTAATTAGTCTTCTTTATTTCTTCTTTTATTATTTTCCTCTATTTCTTCTATTATTACCTTTGGATTTCTTGTTTTCTACGTATTTGTTATTTTCTTCTTTTATTTTTCTCTATTTCTTCATTATTTCTTCTTTTGTCACAATCGTATTTCTTCTTTTCTTTGTTATTGTTATTTCTTCTTTTATTATTTTTTCCCTATTTTTTCCTTAATTCTTCTTTGATTGCCTTCGTATTTCTTCTTCTTTTATTCCAATTCATATATCTTCTTTATTTTCTTTCTTCGTTCACTTTTATTTGTTTATTTATGCTTTAATTCTTCTTTAAGTATTTTTTTTTTTTTGATTCCTTTTTCCTTTATTTCTATTGATTACTTCTATTATTGGCTTCGTATTTCTTCTTTTATTTGTTTTCTTCTTTTATTATTTTCATTTATATCTTCTTTATATCTTCATTTCTACTTCTTCTTTTGTTAATTTTGCTTTATTTCTTCTGTTCTATTTCTGCTTTTCTTATTCTAATTTATTTCTTCTTTTCTTATTCCGCCTTATTTCTTCTTTCCTACTTCTTCTTTTGTTTTTTTCTGCTTTATTTCTTCTTTTCTACTTCTTCTTTTATTATTTTTCTTTCTTTCTATTTCTTCATTTTTATTTTCAACTTTATTTCGCTTCTTTATTTCTTCTTTTATTATTTTCCCCTATTTCTTCGTTTATTCTTCTTTTTTATATCTTCTATTATTCGTTTTTCTTATTTCTTCTTTTTCTTCGTCCAATTTTATTTCGTTTTTTTACTAATCATATTCTTCTTCTTTTTCTTCTTTCCTTTTTTCTATATTATTTCTTCTTTTCTTCTTCTTTTTTCTTCTTTTCTTCTTCTTTTTTTTCTTATAATATTCTTATTTTATTTTATTGTTATTATTATTATTTTTTTCTCTCATAACATTTTTCGATGTTTTCATTAATTTTATCCACCTTTTATTGCCTTTGTATTTCTTCTTTTTCTTCTTCTTCTTGAAAGTGTCTCCACCTTATTCGTTGTATTTATTGTCCTTGCTTTTCTGTTTCCTTTTTTTCAATCCCTCTCCCTCTGTCTTTTTTTTTCTACATATTAGACTTTGTTGCCTCTTGGAAACTGTTTTTTTTTTCTTCTTCTCTTCTTTTTTTTTTTTTAATTCCTCCCTCTATGTATGTCGTCTCTCTCTCTCTTTTTTTTTTTTTTGTTTTCCTCCTCTAATTCCTTTGTTCTCGTCTCATTCTTTATTCCCTTGTCTTCCGTTTCCTTTCGCTCTTCTTGGCGACTTTATGCCAAGAAAATATTGTAAATATTTTTTTTCATTCAATTTCTTCTTTCTTTTATTATTATAAAAATTTATTTATTTGCAAATTTTTTTTTATTTACCTAATTATTTATTTATTTTTTTTTTTTTTTATCTATTTGCCTATTTATTTTTTTATTTATTTCCTTATTTAGTTTTTAATTTTTTTTTTTTTGTTTATTTATTTCCTTATTAATTTTTTTTTTATTTATTTAGAAATAAATAATTAATTACTATTTGTAATTTAATACTTTGTTTAATTTTTTTTTTTTTTGTCATCAAAAAAAGTAAAAATGCGTCAGAACAAAAAAAGTAAATAAATTTTTTTTTTCCAAAAAGAATATTGGATTCACACTTTCAAAAAAAAAAAGCGTTTCCTCTATATATTTGACCCACGTGAATTAGAGCAATCCAGGTTCCTTTGTCGATTTCCTGCAAATGAATTCCCAAACTCTGCCAATACCAGAACCAAAAGAGAAAGAGAGAGAGAGAGAGAGGAGGGGATTGGAAATTGCTTCCTCTTGGTTTGCCACTTGATGCCAAAAGTGTCACGAAATTTCAATTCACTGTCCATTCAGCGTTTCTCGAATCTTTAGATATTGTTCCACTTTTTATTTATTTTTTTTTTTTTTTATTTACTTATTTTTTTTTTAAACTTTTTGTTTCTTTTTTCACGATCACTTTTTATTTTTTTGAAAATTTAATTTTTTGCATAAAAATTTACATTTTTTCACTTTGTTTTTATTTTTTTTTTCTAATCTTCACTTTTTGTAACTTTTACTTCTTTTTGGGGGAAAAAATTTAGTTTTTTTTTTTTTGTAAAAAAATTTACATTTTTTTTATTTTTATTTTTCACTTCGTTTTATTTTCTATTCTTCACTTTTTTTTTTAGTCACTTTTATCTTATTGTAATAAATTTTTATTTTTTAACTTTTTTAATTAAAAACTTAATTTTCAAAAATTTACATTTTTTTGTCACTTTTTTCTATGAAAACTTATTTTTTTCAAAATTTAAATTTTTCACTAAATTTTTTGATTTTTTTGCAAAATTCAATGTTTCAATTTTATTTTTCTTTTCTAAATTTGATTTTAATTTTTTTTTTTAAAAAAAGAGGTACATACAGAAGACAATATCTTATTGTCGCTGCTTCTCCTTCTTTCTTTTTTTTTTTTTTGCCTTTTTCCTTTTGTCTTTTCCGATGATCCTTGCACTTGGATTGCGGTGATAAATCTAGACAGTCTGTACTTTCTGAAGGCAGTGATTTGAGGAATTTAGAGACTGGTTTCAGATTGCAGTCTCTTCAAAGGGTTTTTTTTTTTTTTTTTTTTTTATTCTTCTTCTTGGACGGATGAAAGTCTCTTCTCTCTTTCTTCAAAGTGTGACAGTGCCAGATTCTAGAGTCACTGATGCAAAATTAATTCGAATGGTTCTGGAATGCTCCCTGGGCGCTGCTTCCGGTTTCCGGGAGAATATATATAACTGAAAATGAAAAATACAAAGATTAATTTTACATTTTTTAAATATTTCATTTTTTGAATTTTTTATTTTATTTTATTTTTTAAAATGAATTTTTACGTTTTAAAAATAAATAATTTTAATAAATAATAATAATAATTATAATAATTATAATAATAATTATAATAATAATAATAAATAATAATAATAATAATAATGATAATTATAATAAATAAAATTAATAATAATATTAAATTCAATTTTTGGTGTTTTCATTTGTAACATTTATAAATAATTGAATTTTTGTAGAGTTTAAATTGAAATTTATAAAAATAATTGAATTTTACGAGATTTTAATAAATTTAAAATAATAATATTAAATTTTTTTTGTTCACAAAATTAAAAGTAATTTATCAAAATAATTTTAGATAATCTTTTTTTTTTAAATAATTGAATTTTCGAAAATTTACAATTTAGATTTTTTTTTTTCTAAATAATTGAATTTCACGTAATTTTGAAATAAAATTTTTTTTTAATTTCAGTTGATTAATATAATAATAATTAATATAATAATAATAATAATAATAATTTTTGGAAATTTTGGAATATAATTAAATTTTAGTTAATTTTAATTTGTAAATTTTTTGAAAATAATTGAAATTTAGTTAATTTTGAATTAAAAATTCGAAAAATAATTGAATTTCAATTGATTTTGAATTGAAATTTTGGAAAATAATTGAATTTTAGTTGATTTTGAATTGAAAATTTTAAAATAATTAAATTTCAATTGAAATTTAAGAAAATAATTGAAATTAAGTTTATTTTGAATTCAAAATTCGAAAAATAATTGAATGTCAATTGATTTTCAATTGTAATTTTTGAAAATAATTTAATCTCAATTGAATTATTTCAAAATAATTGAATTTTAGTTGATTTTAAATGGAAATTTTTGAAAATAATTGAATTTTCATTTATTTTGAATTGAAATTTTGTAAAATAATTGAATTTTAGTAAATTTTAAATTGAAATTTAAAAAAAAATAATTGAATTTTAATTTATTTTGAATTGAAATTTTGAAAAATAATTGAATTTTAGTTGATTTTAAATTGAAATTTTTGAAAATAATTGAATTTTCATTGATTTTGAATTGAAATTTTGGAAAATAATTGAATTTTAGTAAATTTTAATTTGAAATTTCAAAAAATAATTGAATTTTAATTTATTTTGAATTGAAATTTTTGAAAATAATTGAATTTTAGTTGATTTTGAATTGAAATTTTTGAAAATAATTGAATCTCAATTGAATTATTTTAAAATAATTGAAATTAAGTTTATTTTGAATTCAAAATTCGAAAAATAATTGAATTCTAATTGAGTTTGAATTTAAATTTTTGAAAATAATTGAATAGCAATTGAATTTTTTCAAAATAATTGAATTTTAATTGATTTTAAATGAAAATTTTTGAAAATAATTGAATTTTAATTGATTTTGAATTGAAATTTGGAAAATAATTGAATTTTAGTTAATCTTAAATTAAAATTTTTGAAAATAATTGAATTTTAATTTATTTTGAATTGAAATTCTGAAAAATAATTGAATTTTAGTTGATTTTGAATTGAAATTTTTGAAAATAATTGAAT